GGGCATCCTTAAACACGGTGTAAGTAGCTATACCGAAACATGGGCATCCTTGAACACGGTATAGGTATCTATACCGAAACGTGGGCATCCCTGAACACGGTATAAGTATCTATACCGAAACGTGGGCATCCTTGAACACGGTATAGGTATCTATACCGAAACGTAAGCATCCTTGAAAACGGTATAAGTATCTATACCGAAACGTGGGCATCCTTGAAAACGGTATAAGTATCTATACCGAAACGTGGGCATCCTTGAACACGGTATAGGTATCTATACCAAAACGTGGGCATCCTTGAACACGGTATAGGTATCTATACCGAAACGTGGGCATCCTTGAAAACGGTATAAGTATCTACACCGAAACGTGGGCATCCTTGAACACGGTATAAGTATCTATACCGAAACGTGGGCATCCTTGAACACGGTATAGGCATCTATACCGAAACGTAAGCATCCTTGAACACGGTATAAGTATCTATACCGAAACGTCGCTATTGCTTACAACTTCTACACTGCCTCTCAAACAGTTCATGAATACAGACAAATTGTTTCGAAACACTGTTGATTAAATTAATGAATATGAACAAATGAGGTGACATAGCCCATGAATTAGGTGACGTTGGGACCTTGGGGACTGTTGGCTACACTATCCGCCCAGACATCCTCAGCCTTATACAGTGGCACGAGGGGAACGGCAGCTCTTCTCAAACTCCTCAGCGTCCGTTGAGTATGTTTATGCTAATATTTGTATAGCGCCAATATCCAGCTCACCTGCTCAAAGGCGCTTTGATTTTCCCTAGATCATTGGATCTCAAACTCAACAAACAAACTTGTATTATCAATCTTGCAGCCACTAGGCGCACCGAGTTATTGCGGCTGTCCCATCCTTACAGGTACCCATTCACAGCTGGGTGGCCTGGGACATATAGTCACAGTACTTTGTCCAAGTTCACTACACGTTGCTGTACCCGCAACTGGGTGTTTGCACGTATTCATGTGGCCACCATCTGGTCATTACGAACACTAGGGGTTGTGACAACACTGAAAGTGTCTGCACACGAAGTTTGCACACTCCAGTGTTTTACACCCAGTCGCAGGTGGCCTCGATCCCGGCACCTCAATTCGCTGGCTCACTAGCTGGACGCCTTAGACAGCTCGCCCACCACGGCCGAGAGTTGCCCGTTACGACTCCTTCCTTATGTACATGGTCCTGGACAGTTCATCATCGTAGATCTTGGGAACAATAGTTCAAGATACCAGTTGTATAGATCACATAAGAGCTTAATTCAACCAGAACTATACCTATCTGTTTTGACATCTAGAAATATCAGACGCACACTTGTCAATTTTCGATTGGGCTGGTTAGACTTATCAGTAAATAAGGGCAAACGATTTTCAATAGAGAGACGTTTAAGGATATGTCCATTATGTAACTCGGCTATAGAAGATGAAATTCACTTCGCTTTTGTATGCCCACATTATGCTGATTTAAGAAAAAAATATATCCCAAATAATTACCTGTTAAAATATCCTTCATCTGCCTTTGCTTCCATTCTATCCTCCAAAAATGAAAATGTAATATGTAATCTTGCGCTTTATGTAAAACATGCTGTTTTCCTTAAAAGCAATATCTTATCTGAACTGTAATTTCTTTGTGAAATGTCTGTAACATGTGCTGTATATATACTTGTATTACTTGTATATGGGCCGGAGGCCTTAAGTACAATAAATATCTTTGACTTTGACTTTGAGTAGTAGTCTTGGTTGGATGGATGAGCTTGGCATTGAAAGAATCGTCTTCCCTCGAGAAGGGCCCTGTTTCATGGTTGTGGTTCTGTCTTCTGGAGCAGAGGGTTCTGTTGACGGTGATTTAGTTGGACTTGCATTGGTCCTTTGAATACCTCCAGTAGACTTTCCCTCTCTTCTCCCTTCCAACACGAAACTTGTACCATCAAAATATAGATTAATACAACTAAGTCCTGTCTCGATGAAGCTAAATTGTACTTGTGCATTAGCCATTGCCACGTATGGTGTTTGGTACATGGGTGTTAGTACCCTTATCTATTAAGTGCTTTACTTAGAAATAAAAACTCAAAGCTCATACACGCAATTAAATTATTTCCGACACCGAGTTGAAATAAAACACAAACTCAAAGTTAAAAATTAAAGTTGAGATGAAAACATAAAGTTCATACACGCAAATGAATTATTCACTACTCATAGTTGAAATGAAAACACAAACTTAACGGTTAATAATAAATGCCATGTGTAAACACAACATATGTTGCTATTTATAACCAGTTCAGCGTACGGCTGTTGTGACCTTACATGTAGAATGGGCATACGGCGCATACAACAGCCTGAATGTTGTCCGTTACAAATGGTGTCCGGATTAACTCAGCCAAATGAAATTACTCAAAGGCGTTTAGAAGTTGGCGTAGTAATACAAGACAAATCTTATGGACCTTCCACCTGAAGAAGGGGCAAGAACTAGCCCAGCAACGCTGTGAAAAATAAATCAAGAAAGTCTTATCCATAAGGTTGTTGGCGATCTTCAGCCTTATTTTATATTGTATTGTCCTAATTTGAAATCCTATTTTAGAGATATACGCTAGTTGTATTTCCTATTGCTGTGATATACTAGTTGGTTTTACTGTCCTTCGTCGACAGATGTTTAAAATTTGCGCTTTTGTCTTGAATTTATAACTGTCTTGGGTCACGATATGGCAGAGTCCAGATCTCCCAATTTCTGTAATCACTGAACCGAAGCCTCTCCATGGAGACTCATTAACCCCCCTCTGAAAAAGTTGATGGACTCTACTATACCCCAGATCATCCAATCGTCCAGTCCTAACATACCCACATCACCAAATTAGTCCTGGTTATCAAACGTTGGTTGGTTGGTTTGTATTGTAACGCCGCTCTCAGCAATATTCAAGCTATATGGCGGCGGTCTGTAGATAATCGAGTCTGGACCAGACAATCCAGTGATCACCAGGATGTGCATCGATTTATGCAATTGGGATACCATGACATGTGTCAGCCAAGTCGGGGAGCCTGACCACCCAATCCCGTTAGTCCCCTCTTACGACAAGCATGGGTTGGTTACTCAAGACCAATTCTAACCCGGATCTTCACGGGTGGGGTACCAAACGGGTATAAAGTACGTGAAACGGACGGACACTGGGTTAAACAAAACCAACCCTGGTGTATTCCATATTCATTCACAAGGTTTATTTTACTGTTCGATCTCATCGTAATATTTGATATTGATTGTTCTTTAAAAACATGTCTTAAAATAAACTTACTCAATCAGTACACTACACTTAAAGTTGAATCAATTTAGGTCGTTATTTGCAGTAGAAATCGTTACATTTCCACAAACAAACGATACCCTGAATCACTTACTTGGAAATACTTCTTGCTGATACATGGAACTAAAATAATTATTTTTACTTATATTTTGAATACTTTGTTGTATAGGCCTTGAGTGTTCGACTATCGTGGAATCCTTATGTTCTCAAATTGATCCGGGTTAAAATTGATCTTCAGTAACCCATGTTTGTCGTAAGAGGCGACTAACGGGATCGGGTGGTCAGGCTCGCTGACTTGGTTGATACATGTCATCGGTTCCAAATTGCGCAGATTGATGCTCATGCCGTTGGTCACTAGATTGTCTGGTCCAGAGTCGATTATTTACAGACCGCCGCCATATAGCTTGAATATTGCTGAGTGCGGCGTAAAACTAAACTCACTCACTCGCTCATCTTCCCTAGCTGTAAACAGAGATGGCTACCGCAATTTAGTTAGTTTTGTTCATGATTTGTTCTAACGACATAAAAGTTCACTTAAAATGCCACCAAGACATGGTGAAACTTATGCATTGCAGAATTTAGAGCAATAAATGTTAGCACTACTTGTTATGTGCTTGTTCCTTATGACGTAATGGTGCCACTCGTTCCCTCTTCCATCACTTGTTCATTTAGATGTATTCATATGCAAGTCTTCAAACGAAGTTGTAACAGGTGACTTTTCGTTTTTATTTCTCTTAAACGATTAATTAAGTATGATGCTCAAAGGCGCTTTGATTTTCCCTTGATCATTAGATGTCAATCTCAAACGGTACATTGTATTATCGATTTCAACTCCCCGGGGAACATACAACTCATGCAGCCACTAGGCGCAACGAGTTAATGTGGCTTTCCCATCCTTACGAGGTACCCATTCACAGCTGGGTGGGCTGGGACACATAGTCACAGTACTTTGTTTACTGCACGTTGCTGTACCCTGGTTAGAAAGATCCGGGTTAGACTTGATCTTTAGTAACCCAAGCTTGTCGTACGCAGAAGGCGGCTAACGGGATCGGGTGGCCAGGTTCGCTGACTTGATTGACACATGTCATCGTATCCCAATTTCTCTAGTATGGTTGCCTAACTTCCGTTGCTGGCGATCTCTTGCCAATCTTTATCTCGTGTCGAAAAGGTAGTGTTTACGCCCTGTTATAGTGGCATGTATTATAACTGAAAGTTGCTGATGAGAGCCACCTTGTGTTAGCAGGATGACATACTCCCCTTGCAATGATATTGGTAGGGTGATGAGATGTCTGGTACTCTCCCTCACGTGTTACCTGTGTGGGTGATTGCACGTATGGCATATATATTACAATAACTCGAAAGTGTTGGAATTAGTTTGTGCTGAGCTGTTGGTTTGTTCCGAGATCATACATACCAGCTTTAGACCCGGGTTTGAATTTGTCTTCAGCAACCAGTGCTTGTCGTATGAGGCGACTAACGCGATCGGGTGGCCAGGCATGCTGTTTTGCCACTCTATCCCACTGTATTTGCTCATGACGTATATCACTGGATTGCCTGGTCCAGACTCGTTCATTTACAGACTTTCAGGTTTACAGCTAAATTTTATATTACGTATAGAATATTCCAAAACAGTATACGATAATTACTGTATCGCCAAGAACAAACACAGCTTTCATTTTCGTGTTTTTGTATTTTATTGCTTTGAATCAAAGTTTTTTAGATGCATAATCGAAACGTGGTTACAGTTCATCTTGAAGCCAGTACATCATCCCGCGCGCAAATTTCTCACAACGCACGTGTGCTTCCAACAGAAATCATCATCCTGAAAACAACAATTTAACAACAATGAACAACAATGCTTCAATAATACAGTTAGTTACATTATAAAAAACACTAACAAAGAAACAACATTATAGCAACAATTTAACAACAAGTAATAACAATGCTGCAATAATATATCTACAGTTAGTTACACTATAAAAAACACTAACAGAGAAACGGCATTATAGCAACTATTTAACAACAATTAACACCAATCCTTCAATAATACAGTCAACAATTAATAACAATGCTGCAATGATATATCTACAGTTAGTTACACTATAAAAACAACACTAACAAAGAAATAACATTATAGCAACAACTTAACAACAATTAATATTAATGCTGCAATAATATATCTACAGTTAGTTACACTATAAAAAAACACTAACAAAGAAACAACATTGTAGTAACAATTTAACACCAAATTGATTACACTGTTACAACTCTAACAACAAAGTAACAAGGACGTAACAACAATGTAACAATACCAACAAATACCAGCCTAGAAGATAAGGCAAACCCACTGTCACTACAAGGGTACCCCACTTTCTCAGATTTCTACGTGACGACTTTAACCGAGAGTACTTGTGGGATAGCAATCCCACTGTAAGTAAACAATGAAACTGTGTGCTATGCGCCCTCTACATGTAGCTAGTGACACTGTCAGAGGGTACATAATGCAGTATCAAGCTCCAATGACTCTCCACATCAATTTATCTCACTTTCAACAGAAGTATACGATCTGAAGCATGTCTAATACGAGAGGAATTATTGGCGAGGCAATTTCTTTGAAATGTCATTGTTTTACAGAACATGACTAAAATAGGCTAACTGACTATGGGCATTGCATTTCTTATTACTGTTTTTGGAATAGAACTACAATATGTTGTTAACAGAGCTCCAGATAAGACTTAGCTCATGTGGGTACTGTACCCTCTGTATTATTTTGGAGTGGGTATTATGAATGTTGAGTGGGTATTTCATTTTCCGTTACCCACTGCTTTCAAATATGTGCGTATTTCAGTCATTTTACTCACCTAGGTATTATGTCATTTAGTACGTTTACTAAGCAGGTATGTTCTGCCTTATGTCATACCTAATCAAAACCAACTTAAATATAATGGAAATGATTTCATAAAAAATCAGTCATCCTCTACTGACAGTACAACACTTGTCCTATACTAACAGTACAACTTGATAGCAATCGATGTCTTTTTCATTACGCAAGCGATTTGTATATATATATATTCCGTGCGCATTTGTTTTAAACTTTTTGCGTATCTAACATTTTAAATGCGTAACTGGTACGCAACAATTATGTTTTCAATGCGTTATTGGAAATTTTCTATGCGAATTTTACCCGGATACGCAGCATATCTGGGCCTCTGTGTTAAAATAGGCGAGTTGTCCTGATAGGGAACTGAATGTAGTGCATATCTCAGAGATGGCTACGGCAAAGGTTCAAAGAGTAACTGTTCTCCTTGGTTCAACGTGTTTGTAATAACCCCTGTAGAGGGAAAGTCATGTCTGGGGTCTGTCATTGGCACACATTAACACCCAAAGGATACACATCTACAAACCCAATAGTGGCTTTAGGACCAATATAGTAACCCATGTAGAGGGAAAGTCGTGTCTGGGGTCTGTCATTGGCACACATTAACACCCAAAGGATACACATCTACAAACCCAATAGTGGCTTTAGGACCAATATAGTAACCCATGTAGAGGGAAAGTCGTGTCTGGGGTCTGTCATTGGCACACATTAACACCCAAAGGATACACATCTACAAACCCAACAGTGGCTTTAGGACCAATATAATACCCCCTGTAGAGGGAAAGTCGTGTCTGGGGTCTGTCATTGGCACACATTAACACCCAAAGGATACACATCTACAAACCCAACAGTGGCTTTAGGACCAATATAATACCCCCTGTTGAGGGAAAGTCGTGTCTGGGGTCTGTCATTGGCACACATTATCACCTTAAGGATACACATCTACAAACCCAACAGTGGCTTTAGGAACAATACTGTTTGGGCGACTCAATTAAGCAAGAATATTTACAGGTAACTGTCGTCAGCAACTCTTGTTGAAGTATTAGAAATCATTATATACTTACTTGCTCCTCCGAAAAATGGAGACATACCTGAAAGGGAGATTGGAAAGTAGATGTTAGATTGTTTAGTCCTAATCAGTTTGGTATGTCAGCAGCATCTGGACCTTGATGGGCGAGTTATGTCGCCTGGGCCAACGGATCCCCCCGCTACTCCCAATACCTGTGTTATCGTCATAGCGAGATTATTAAAGATTCGCTATAACTGGTAAGGTGATTGAGTGAATTTTGTTTTAGTAATATTCCAACAATAATACGGCGTGGGATACCAGAAATGGGCTTTAAACATTGTACCCATGTAGGGAATCAAACTCGGGTCTTCCGCGTGACGAGCGTACGCTTTGACCACTGAGCTACTGAACCGCTCTTTTAACATAAGCGGTAATGAGTGGGTATTGGGGTACGTTTTGTGTTACTTAGACACAAATTTCATTCCTGTTTTACATGCATTGATGTTTGGACCAACATACGTTTGTCTTAACTGAAAACTTTACAGTATTGACATTGTGTTCAGATACAAGAAGATCTACAAGACGAGAACTTTAACCACTAGGCCACCCTGCGTCCTATAACAGTTTACTGATAAGGGGTGGGACGGGTTTGTGTGGTGTTTTGGGGGGGTGACATTTAAAATTATTGGTGTACATTAAACACTACCACATACGTAAAACAATATCTCGTTTTCATGACCTATTTCATAAACAGGTACTGTTCTGGCTACCTACCCGCGGGTTGTTGGAAGCTCTGGAGGAATTGCTGCATTTGTGGATCTGAAATAAAACAGTTCATGACGAGTGATGTCATGTAGACGAGATGTTGTCCAAAGAATAGCCTTAGGTTACGGTAATTGGGAACCGTAAAATCAAGCTCTCTTGTAAAGATTGGCTCTTTCCCCACCCTTAACAAAATCTGGCGCACAAATTCAATAACTGAATGGGCTCACTACCTTCCTGGTGGTGCAAGAAATCTCCTCTTTAATCCGAATACAAGATGTTTTGTTTGTTGTTTAACGCCGCACTCAGCAATATTCCAGCTATATAGCGGAGGTCCGTATGCAGTCGAGTCTGTACTAGACAATCCAGTGATCAACATCATGAGCATCTATCTATGCAATTGGGACACGATGACATGTGTCAACCAAGTCAGCGAGCCTGACCACCCGATCCCGTTAGTCGCCTTTTACGACAAGCATGGTTTACTGAAGATCAATTCTAACTCGGATCTCTACATGTCGATTTGACCAAAGATAACAGACGTCATGAAAACCAGAAATGCTGAAATCTGTCAATCTACCGTTAAACATGTGTGAGTGAGTGAGTTTAGATTTACGCCGCTTTTAGCAACATTCCAGCAATATCACGGCTGGGGAGACCAGAAATGGGCTTCACACGTTGTAGCCATGTGGGGAATCGAACCCGGATCTTCGGCCTGGCGACCACAAGTCTACCTCCACCGCCCCTCAATCAATAATGACTTGGCTGCAATACGTAGTTTTCCCCGGGATGTTGACATTGACAATACGATGTGCCGTTGACTGAGTTTGTTGTTTTGCCTAGCAGTTTACAATGGGATACTAATCTGTGGTATTTAGGATATGAGGAACACCTAGTGACTTGTAGGGTTAGAGTTAATGCATTGTGTCAGTCGTTTGGTACGTAGTTAGGAGGTTATGTAGACGTTATAATGATGTAGACGTTGTCATGACGTCATGTAGTTCCTGACGCCAGAATCCCTTAATATTGAGAATAGTTACCAGCTGCTGGGCTCTGTGGGAATATGTCTGGCATCGGTGCTGAAACAGAATGATATACATAAGCATATACTCATGCCTAACTGATGACTGTTTAGATGGAAGGCGTACTCATGTTTCCACAGAGTGACTGTGTGATTGACATATGACTGTTTTGATAGAGCGACTGATTTACTGATGACTGTTTTGTTAGAATTGCTGTGTGATTTACTGATGACTGTTTTGATAGAATGACTGTGACTTACTGATGACTGTTTTGTTAGAATTGCTGTGTGATTTACTGAGGACTGTTTTGATAGAATGACTGCGAGATTTACTGATGACTGTTTTGATAGAATGACCGGATGACGTATCGTTAACCGTTTTGACAGAGTGACTGAGGGACTGACTGATGACTGTTGTGATAGAATGACTGTGATTTACTGATGACTGTTTTGATAGAATGACTGTGATTTATTGATGACTGTTGTGATAGAATGACTGCGAGATTTACTGATGACTGTTTTGATAGAATGACCGGATGACGTATCGTTAACTGTTTTGACAGAGTGACTGTGAGATTTACTGATGACTGTTTTGAGAGAATGATTGTGATTTACTGATGACTGTTTTGGTAGAATGACTGCGAGATTTGCTGATGATTGTTTTGATAGAATGACCGGATGACGTATCGTTAACTGTTTTGACAGAGTGACTGACTGATGACTGTGGCGATAGAGTGACTGAGGGACTGACTGATTTTTTATTTTTTGCACGTTGTATGTCCTAAGATTATATCAAATTATCGGTCCTTAATGTGTGACATAGTGATCCTACCCACAAAAAATTACTGTTCCTCTCCCAATATCATGATAGATAGTATGACCCTTGCAGGCAGCATTTGCATAAACTGCAGGATGTAGACGGTGTCATGACGTCATGTAGTTCCTGACGCCATAATGACATGTTTAATGTACTATATCTGTGATGTATAAATACTCGAACACTTACAATGCAGAAGAGACTGTGAGGCAGCACCTAAATGAAGAAAGTAAATAAACAGTTTGAGGTGAGGTGAGGTGAAATTTGGTTTAACGTCGTGCTTGAGAATATTTCGCTCATATGACGACATGCATGCGTGTGTATGTGTATGTGCGGCTGCTTGTACTAGCCCAGACTGAAGCTGGTTTTATAGTGCTAGCCCACTGAGATACCATGCCGCAGTGAAGCATGAATACCCCACTCAGACACATTACACTGAATCCGAGCCGACCAGTCCTTGTTGTACCCATTAATGCCGAGCGCCAGGCAGGGACCAACAAGTACCATATTTTTGGTATGACGCGGTCGGGGATCGAACCCGCGACCTTCCGCTCTCCGGGCGGACGCTCGAACCACTACACCACGGAGGCGGCCATAAACAGTGTGAGAAATACTGAAATCATCAACTATATCAGTAAGAGCCATGCTTAATGACGGGGACTGTGACTCAGCTCGTCTGGACCAGACAATTCAGTGACAGACATCATGGGCATCGAGCTACGCATTTTGCATGACATTGGTGAGGTCAGCGAGCCTTACCACCCGGTACCGCTAGTAGGCACTTGAATGCGTAAAGACGGTATCATAGATGCTAGAACTGGCTGACTGGGTTAGATCGCTGAGTCAGTGTGCTAGCGATTCGGTGCCTGACTGCGAGTGTGGGTTCGAATCCCATATGGGGCTCAACCTGACACACATCATAGAATCTCTGCTTTAGTGAGAAAGTGCATTCCCAAATATAACAAATGATACATTTGACTTTCTAAATGGCATTTTGTATTTATAATTCATTCCGATACACACCAGACAGCAATATTTCAGTTGAATGCCGTCAGTTTGTTAGTAATCAAGACTGGAAACTCAAGTAATTGATAGTCTGTGAAACAATCCACACGGACGAGTCATGGTGACAAGATATCAACCCAATACAATCACTAACATCCAAACCACGTAATAGATCGATGCTCATCCTGCTGATCACTGGATTGTCTGGTCCATTTACAGACAGCCACTGTATGGCTGGAATATTGCTGAGTACGGCATTAAACGACTAACAAACAAAACAAAACAAAACAAACCACGTAATGGCCTCGTGTGTTTGTAGGACCGATTTTAACCCGGAATTCCCATAACTTTGCTGCTTACCTGGAAAGAGGGGCGGTGGGGTAGCCTAGTGGTTAAAGCGTTCGCTCGTCACGCCGAAGACCCGGGTTCGATTGCCCACATGGGCAAAATGTGTGAAGCCCATTTCTGGTGTCCCCCGCCGTGATATTGCTTGAATATTGCTAAAAGCGGCGTAAAATCAAACTCACTCACTCACTCACTCACCTGGGAAGAAACCGCCGGGTAATTGACCGCTGTGCATCCCTAGGCTGGACATCGACGATGCCCCAGAGGCACCTGTCATAATAACGTTGCTTAAGTGAGGTGTTTGAGGTACAATGGTAAATACGAAGATTTCCATACCTTGACTAACATCTAGACTCTGAATGAACATATTGCACAGGAAAACTAGTTCTTAAATTACATATGTTATGTAATAAAAAGGAGCGCAGAGGCTTTCTTCATTTTCTGAAACTGTGGTAATCTAGACCTGCATGGACGGTATTGGGTATGTTTGTTTCAGGGTCTGTATGCCACACTGCACTGTGACCACACCATGCTTGGTAAAGCTTTGTTTGATCAGGGTAACAGCATTCAAAGTCTCGATAAAGTTTGATAAAAAAAATATGGTCTAAACAATGAGTACAGACACTATGTCAGATGTGTTTCCTATTTTTTCCGTGGTATATTTTCAACTAAACAGTTGACTTGCCTTTGTATGTGTTTGTTACACATGAGCACACTCTTGCAGTAAATATAGGAACGTCACAATCTACATAACTGCAAGCGGGAGAAACACAACAGTGTGGTTTTACGCCGTTTTTATTAATGTTCCAGCAATAGCTAGGAGGGGGAACACCAGAAATGGGCTTCTCATAATCCACCCATATGGGGAATTGAACCAGGGTCTTCGGCGTAACGAGTGAACGCTTTTACCTCTGGGCTACCCTACTGCTCCAGAAACACCAGACGTGATGCAGGATTTGAATGTGAACCTCTCTGATGAAGCCCGAACTCGTGGGGTAGCTTAGTGTTTAAAGTGTTCGATGTCACGCCTCAGTCCCGGGTTCGATTCCCCACATGGGTACAATATGTGGAATCCATTTGTGGTGTCCTCTACCGTGATATTGCTGGAATACTGCTAAAAGCGCCGTAAACCTAAACTCATTCACCCACTAAGACGAACCAAGTAATGGCAGGAATGTGTCTTTCGTTCTTAATCATTCTAAGAAGTACATTCTTTTTGTCTGACAAAAATGTGTAAACAATATAGATTTGACCAGCAATACATCTTGTTTTTCAAATCAACACATCCAATCTACGTTGCATTTTGATAGGAATACTTGAGTACAATGTTTTGTGCAAAATCTCTCCGGAAACATCACATCCCATCCTTCCATTCATCACTTACCTTTCGTTTGTTTTGGAAATACAGAACGCCAATGCGAGAGAATAACCTCGATTATCTGCGTCTCTGATCCGCATTGACATACTTTTGCTCGCTTTGAATACAATGTCAATACAAGATCGTCAGCTCACCACCTAACTTTGATTACAATGACCGAAACTGATGGGATGGTGTGAATCAGGCTAGGCTCCATGCAGGTAGCAAAAAGTACTGTAAGTCCCCATGGTCCCTAGCATAGTAATCTACCTTCAGTTACTGGTGATTTAAAACCCGTTATTTATGTTGTATTGTTCTTTTTGAGGATATGTTCTTATGACAACACGCTGGTTTTAATTAAGATCTGTGATTCTCTAATACTTTTACTGGCCATGTTGCATTGCTGATAAGATACAAAGTCTTTCTAAGAAACCTACCACTAGATGGCGCTGGCTGGCTACTTGGCCCTGTGCCGGGGAACACTGCAAGAAAGATGACAGTTGCTGTATGTTTCATAGGTAGCGTTTGTGTCAATATCAGATATAATGATATTTATATTTGTTCGGGTTGTGGAAAAGTAAATAGATACATATTGTATATTTTCACATCATCTTTTATAGCACGCAAAATATATCCATTTGAGGATTTAGAATAGACGCTAAGAATATCCACTACAAATACCAATGAAAGCAACGCTGTGATATCTGTAGCATAGAACTAGACAAACTGAAGACAAAATGTAACATACAATATAATACAGTAAAATACAATGAGTACAATATTCAGGCATTCTATGCAACATGTGCTACATTCAGTACCGCACGCAGGCTCTATTGTATTGATATCTTTGGAAATTCATGTCTGGGATCAAATTCGTCCAGAATGTAGAGTGTAAACTCCTCAGAATGCGATACAGAACTAAGGCCACCGTTGTATGATTGAAAAATGCAGTGCGTGTAGTTAGCGCACACTGAGTAGTGCGACATACTCACCGTTGTTGCCGCCATTCATAGGATCCATAGGTCCCATTGAAGGTCCACTTGAAGGACCTGGAACAAAGCCACGTCACAAACAAACTGTCACTATTCTCGAGTAGCATGCAGTTCTTTCAGGATAGTACGTGTCATGTTTGCCAACGAGATGATGCTCTTGAAATACTGTTTCAAACAATGGTAACAGACAATTTCTCTTCTTTTGCAAACGTCTTGTTTTTCTGTACAAGTAATACCCGGAACAATCTATTATTTTTAATAGCATCTCAGGCATTACTCTCCCTGACCACAAAAAACAAAATCCCCTTCCGGTTAAAGGAATGCCAAGTGTCCCGCTGGTACCTTTACTTGTGTTATTTGATAATAGTCCTGAACGACATCTTTAGGCATTTACGAACCCCTGGTTTCTATACTCATTGCTGGTGTCGCAGCAGTGGAAAACCATATTCACTCATGGTCTGAACTCTACCGGTGAAGATCCGGTTAGAGTTGGTCTTCAGCAACCCATGCTTGTCGTAAAGGGCGACTAAAGGGATCGGGTGGTCAGGCTTGCTGACTTGGTTGAGGCATGCCATCGTATCCCAATTACTGCTGCCTTTGCTCTTGTTCAATAGAACCATGAAGATCTGGGTTAAAATTGATCTTCAGTAACCCATATTTGTCGTAAAAAGCGACTAACGGGATCTGGTCGTCAGGCTCGCTGACGTGGTTGACTCGTGTCATAGTATCGAAGTCGCGTAGATCGATGCTCATGTTGTGGATCACGGGATTGTCTGGTCCAGGCTTATTTATTTACAGACCGCCGCCATATAGCTGGAATATTGCTGTGTGTGGCGTTAAACAACAAACAGTCTAACCATCATCAGCTGAACTCACCTGTCATTTGCTGTATAATGGACATCGTGGCAGCTGTGGAAATATGACAAAGTTTACATGAAGCGCATGTATATCATTCACCACAACATGGAGTTCTTTAACAATGTCAGAAACTAAAAGCGAAAGCAGTCGTATTGTTTTGGGAACTGAGAAAAGGCGCCAGAGTGGGTATTCATATATTTCAGTCAGGTGACCTGGGCCCTTTCACGAAGCAACCTTTACTAAGGTTGACCTTAACTCCCATCCAATAACACTGCACTAAGGTTACCTTAGTAACTTACGATCACCTTAGTGCTTTGTGAAAGGAGGACCTGCTTTTGGAAGCATTCAAACGTCTTGGACATTGTCCAAATCTGGCGTTGTTCTCAGTTATTCAAACAAGGATGGTGTTATGCCTTTGAATGTTGTAAAATTGGTTTCAAGAACATCTGAGGACTATTACATGTCGCATGGCACAAAGAGTCTACATCACAATAGATAGATCTTAACTCAACATTGACAGTCTTCCGGGATAACAGCTTCTTTTATTTCTTCAGTGCGACGTTTCTATAGAGATTCCTTGTCAAGCAGATTCGTTTTGACCCGTGACGATACGGGTTAGAATTGATCTTCAGTAACCCATGCTTGTCGTAAGGGGCGACTAACGGAATCGGGTGGTCAGACTCGCTGACTTTGTTGACACATGTCATTGTATCCGAATTGCGTAGATCGATGCGCATGCTGTTGATCACTGGATTGTCTGGTCCAGACTCGATTATTTACAAACCGCCGCCGTATAGCGGGAATATTGCTGAGTGCGGCGTAAAACTAAACTCACTCACTTGTATCGTTTTATCGAACGTCGTACTCACGAAATAAAAGAGGTTGTTATCAATAAAGTTTGTCAATATTGTTCCTTCGAGCTTCTAAAATGCCACTCAAGGAAGACTCGTTACATATCTTCAAATGAGACAAAAGCCTTAATTAAGACAGGCGCGTAGAGCGCCGACATGTTACACGTACCCAATTTCCTTGCATTATCTGAAAATATACAGGAAACAATGTGTTAATTTCAACACCAAATAAATGCGAAGGTTATTATGATAATAATGAGAATATTTATAACGCGGCTTTTCCAGGCGAGGTATCCTGTTCAAAGCGCACAATCTGATCATTATTACCCCATATAACACAAGCTGCCTGGTAGGCGCTGGAATGTTAATAGTCTCACGACTTATCCCACCGGGTACCCATTTTCTGCTGAACGAACAGAGGCAATTTTGAACAAACTCACTTGCCTAAGGCGACACCACATGTAGCACATTTGCCTCGTTGATGGGCAGGACTGAAGTCTTAGAAACTCTCAGGTGTCAAGCTGCCAAACACGGTCACTCATCCAAGTACACTAGGCGCCCAACGTTGCCTAACTTCAACTGATTTTTTACCTGATCTCTATGCACAGGACCAAACACCTCCATTTATGTCATAATATATTCTACTTTTATATTATTTGTCTGACAATGGTCCCTGCCACTCACGTATCGGACGAATACAACACAGCTGATATCAGGCGTCAGACAAGGCCTGCTTTTATTTGTCATCTTTTTTATACTCTGAATGATATAAAATGGGTTTAGCCGCAACGGTTGTTTGCGTCCCTTTGTCGTGTCAGGATTCGCTTGTCCTATCTTTCACCCGGTTATAACATCATTCGTAACGTTAACTCTACGGTTTAGCATAGGTTTACGAATATCGTAGCGTTACGAACGCTTTGTGTATCGGGACCCAGGCTAGCTATTCTCGAAACGTTCGTAGCCCTACGAACTTCTTAAGCCCATTCTTAACACATTGGCTACGACCAAAGCTAAGAATTCTTAGGGCTACGAACGTTTCGACAATAGGGACCCATGTCTGTAAGCATGATACCCGTGTGTCTTTCAACAGGTGAACGTCCAGGATATCTAGCGCCGTTGATCCATACTTACGTACTTCAACATAGTCGGGTGTATGTAAGCACCCGGATATGTAGTGTGTCTTGCTGTGTGTACTTACTTGCGTTTCTCATCACTGAAAGTAGAGAGAACTATGGTCACTTCAAAGCTCATATACAATGGTAATACAGTCTTTGTATCTTTCTGAGATAGTTTTGAGACTCCACTTGATGCTAAGAGTATCCAAAACATATTGCTTAGCATGAATGCATATTGTTTCAAGTGTTCGACAGAGATGTGGACAATGCACTTGCTGACCAATGCACTAGAAGCTTTATGGTCATCGTTAAACCAATAATGATATACAATAGCAGACAGAGCAGATCACGTAGTAAGGAAGTGGCACTTCAGTTCTTGTAGTGCTTCCTTGATATGGCAGGTATAGAGTTTGAGTTCAACCAGTTTATACTATATGTTTTAAATACTTTTGTATTGGGTGTTTCATTACATGTCAGCTGTTAGTTGTGGCTGGATAATAGTTTCATTTACTTACTGTCTTCCTGTCTTTCTATCATTGGTTCAAGTATGTCCCTTGCTGAAACACAAAAAGCCACCTTATTTCAACGTCAGTTTAAGTTGTTTGAGCAAAACATAAACAAGTTGTTTTTCAGAAATGTTTGGGGAGTTTACATGAACCAAATACGAGCTTGGTTCCAAGTGCCTGTTTTTCTTGTTGGCCTGTGACGTTACGCTCATCGATATTCCAGCTAGATGTGTCGAAGGCCTCTAAATAATCAAGTCTGGACCAGAGAACCAGGCACTCAACCGATTCCTGCTGTCGGGCACTTCACTTCACAGCACTGCTGTATTCAACATAACAATCTTCACAACATTAAACAGATGTGAAAACAGTTCTTACACAGTTACAATTCTTACAGTTATCAATTTTACACACCGTTTCGTTGTGTGGTGGTGGTGGAATATTGGGTTTAACGTCGTGCTTGAGAATATTTCGCTCATATGACGACGTGCATGCGTGTGTATGTGTATGTGCGGCTGCTTGTACTAGCCCAGACTGAAGCTGGTTTTGTAGTGCTCGCCCACTGAGATACCATGCCGCAGTGAAGCATGAATACCCCACTCAGACACATTATACTGACTCCGAGCCGACCAGTCCTTGATGTACCCATTAATGCCGAGCGCCAGGCAGGGACCAACAAGTACCATATTTTAACGTCTTTTGGTATGACGCGGTCGGGGATCGAACCCGCGACCTTCCGCACTCCGGGCGGACGCTCTAACCACTACACCACGGAGGCAGTCCGTTTCGTTATGTGTGTGTTTAACGCCGCACACTGCACAATTAAAACTGTATGGTAGTGATCTTTGAATAATCGGGTCTGAATGAGACAAACCTGTGATTGATATAACGAGCACTAAACCTCGTAGTCGGGTACGTTGACATGCAGGGGCCTATTTTAGTCGGAGTCGGAGTCCCCATAGGACTATCATGTGGATGACATACGAATACGATAATCTGTTTGAATCTGATCTGTGATTATCATATAAATAAGGACGGTGGAGTAACCTAACGTTTAAAACGTCTGCTTGTCACGCTAAAGGCCCGGGTTCGACTCCCGACATGGGTACAATGTGTGAAACCGATTTCTAGTGTCCCCGCCGTGATATTGCTGGAATATTGCTACTGGCGGCGTAAAACCATACTCACTCACTGACTAATATAGATAAAGGTATTACCGCGGGGTCCAAGAGCTGCAGTTCCTGGCAATCCTGGCAGAACTGGGGCAGCTTGTAGTCCTGGAAAACACAAAATTTTTGTAGCTATGGTAACCTGATGCTGGGATGCAGTGTATAGAATTGTGACTGTTCAACATGTTACGGTGAGCAAAGTCGTCAACTAACCATTCAAACGTATGCCTGTGTTGGCTGACGATTTGGATACTTCATTTAACAATTGCTGCCTAAAATTGATTAAAGGTATTGAACGGTTCGACTCTCACAGGAGATTTGAAGAGATGTGAACTGATTTGAACCGATCTGAACTGCTCGGGCCTTTGTGTTGGTATCGTGTTCAATGTAAATGGTTCTTGGTGACCGTGTGTGTGTTTGAGGCGTATGTTTGTAGGAGTTTGTGTGTGCATGCGTCCGTGCGCGCGTGCGTATGGGTTTTGTCTGTGTGTGTGTGTGTGTGTGTGTGTGTGTGTGTGTGTGTGTGTGTGTGTGTGTGTGTGTGTGAGAGAGAGAGAGAGAGAGAGATACAATAAACTACGGTTACAAGACTTCAAAGGGATCACTTATTGTAGTACATTATAGCCATAATTCGTTATACGCATTTTGACTTAAGTGTAGAGCAAGTGTATTAAAAATCGGCTTCTTATATTCGTCGCCGTGTTTGTTATAAACATAGTTAACTGTATAGATTACTGAGACATAAGGCATGTCAGTTGTCATTCTATATTATCATTAAGATATTATCTTTCGTGAACCATATATTCATTTTCGTAGACCATGAAGGCAAGTTATTTCAGCCATCATCGATAACAGATTAGTTTGTGAAATATGTATGATGCAGACTTGCACATACCTCCAGGGCTTTGAAGTGCATTAATATCAGCTGGGGTCAAACCTTGAAAAAATAGAGAAATGGTTTGTTAGAATTCCACCGACATTTTACCTGAGATTTATCTTCCAGATTTATCTTTATGTTCCAGCTTTTAAGGTAAATTAGTCTTATACCACACGCAAATAACAGATTAATCAACCCCACAAACATTTAAGTCGCCCTAAGAAGCAGTACAATTTTCTGGGGATACCGTTTGTTGGTTGTTGAACGCCACACTCAGCTATTTTGCAGCTATAAGGCGGCGGTCTGTACATAATCGAGTCCGTCCATACAACCCAGTGATCAACAGCATGAGCATCGATCTACGCAATTAGGATATTGCGATTTGGTTGTCATGTGTCAACCAGGTCAGCGAGTCGGCTACCATATCCCGTTTGTCGCCTCTTAAAAGAATGGTTGCCCGGATCAACACAGGTGATAAGATGCTACATATATACACATGATATTGTAGAAATAACTTTGCATGTATTTATGTTTTGTTAATGACCAATAATTACCTTGTGGCGGGGAGACGAGCGACGACAGTGGAGAAGTGTTACCTGTTGACAAGTCTTATGTTACAATCAACCGAATAACATTGCAGTGTATGATGAGCCTTTTACTTCAGATTATCGCTAGCATCTCTCTTAACAATATCATCTGAACACATCAAAACTGTTTAAGTGTACACGTACATAACAATGAGCACATAGCCATTGTAACGCAATTATAAGATGAAAAACAACCGTTAATTATGAGATGAGTAAACCAGAAATGGGCTTCACAGAAAAAAGAATACATTCAAACAGCAAACGCTGTTCTTGTGTGTCTTCCTTACCAGAAGCTGAGGACCCAAGCCCGGCGAAGTCAAATGGGATATTCATACTGCTGAGAGCTGCAACATCAAGGTAAAGGCTGACGCATTGGGAAAAATGCTGAGACAGCAAAAACAAGCGTGGCATGGCGGTTTTCCAATCGTTAATAACATAATGGAATAAATGTGAAGAAATGAGATAAGCGATATAAATATAACATTATAGCGTAATTTGACAATGTGTAACTTTGCTTGAAGGACTACACCTCACCTG